GTGTGTGTCTGTGTGTGTGTAGTATATATGGGCTACTCCCTTTTTCTTGGAAGACTGTGCATTGGAGTGTGTACTATTTAAGCTAACAGCAAGTTACCAAAAAGGGAAAAAGGGAAAAAGGGAAAAAGGGAAAGGTAACAGCACTTTACTCAAGTTAGCTTATCAGTGCATCAGATCTGTGCAAATCAAATCACTAGAAGAGAGACAGGAGTCGCGACCGAGAGCAGTGGTGACCGCTGCATCCATCGATTTCCCCCCTGCGCCCCCCCTCTTCGTCCGCCTCCACCCCCCCCTGCACCCCCCCTCCTCACTTCTTTTAAAGCGGGTAGAAGGTGAAAAAAAAAGGAAAAAGAGAAGCGAAAACGACTGATCTAGGGTTTAAGATGAAAAAAAATAAAACCAAAAAAGAACAAAGGAGCAATAGAAGGATAATCAACCCCACTAATACTGGAAAAACTCGAAATCGTGTGTTCGCCTAGGCTACCAGAGTGGCCCGGGGTCACTTGCCCGGCAGGGCCAAAAATAAATAAATAAATAAATAAATAAATAAATAAATAAATAAATAAATAAATAAATAAATAATTTTTTATTTTTTATTTTAAATTTGGTAAAGAATTTCGATGTGACCCTGAGGCAAAGGTTGTTCAGTTTATTTTTCTGCGTAACATAGTTTTTTTGTTTTCTTTTTCGAGTTCTTTTTTTTTTTTTTGGCTGGGACCTTCTCTGGTCCTTGCACGCGCTGGCCACCCGGGACCCGGGCGGCCCGGCTGGTAGCCTAGGTCTGATTTGGGAAAAAAAAAAACAGGAAAGGGAAGAGCACACACAGAGAAACAGAAGGGAAATGAAGAGTGGGGCTACGGCAAGAAAAAAAAAAAGACTTATCGTTGAAGTAAAAAGGGGGAACAAAGGGAAAAAAAAAAAAGTCGGGACAAAAAAAAGGTGAACGAAAAAAAGGGTTCCGAAGTTCGACCCAAATTTTTTGTCTATACATAGACGGATTTACTATGATTGAGGGAGGGCATACTCACAGTAGCACTCAGAACAAAAAGTACATGTACCTGACCGCATTTACAGCCGGACTTGTATGCATCTGGCCGCAATTCCGTCCAGAAATAAGTAAGAAAAGTGCTAGTGTGAGTATGCCACTGTGAACAGGGGGGCAAAAGTCAGAAAAATAGAGAAGGAAGAGTGGAATAACGAGAAAAGACTTGTTCGGGGGACATCCGTTAAAATTGGAACGATGCAGAGAAGATTAGCATAGAGAAACGAAAAAAGAAAAAAGAAAGAAAAAAAAGGAAAAAAAAGGAAGAAAAAGGAAAAAAAAAGAAAGAAAAAAAAAAACGAAGGAAAAAAAAAGAAAAAAAAAAACGACGATAAAGTAAAAGCAGAAAAGTATGGCAAGGTGAGTGCATTACAGCCGTTAAGCAACGCTACAGAGAAGAAGGAAAAAAAAATCCCAAAAAAATAGAAAAGGAAGAATGGAAAAACGACTGACATATGTGGACAGAGAGAGAGAGAGAGGGAGGTGGTAGAGAGGCTACCTTCTTCAGCCGAATACAACGTACGGTCATTATAGCGGTATCTCGACTGACAGATGCCTCAAATACAGCTATAATGACCGTACGTTGTATTCGGGGGAAGAAGGTAGCAGGAGTAGAGGTAGTAGGAAATAGAGTAGGGTAAGTCATATCGCAGTGGGGCAACTATCTTATTGTGGCATTGATAATCGAAGGCTAAAAATCAGGTTTTTGCCTAGATATATATTATAAAAAAAATAAAAAAATTATATTTTGATAAATGTGGATTTCGTTTGCCTATATATTATAATAAATAATAAATGCGCACTTCAATTTCAAACAAACACAAAAAAAAAGTCAGGCTTTCTCTATCAAGAGACTTCAGGGGTTCTGTTTTTGCTCCTTATTGGTGTTCCGCTGCTGTGGGTAAAAAAAAAAAAAAAAAAAGTTGAAAAACGACAAGGAAAACGACAAAAGTAAAAGCAGGGAAAAAATGGAAAAGAGAGTATGATGTGTCCTTTGGGACATCACAGCCGTTAACATAGGAAAGAGCGCTACAGTGAGAGAATATTCATTTGCATGGCCCTTGCGCAGCAATCGAGGATGATTCACACCTGCACAAATCGAGAAAGATGCACCAAATTAACCCCTCTGCCTATGGTTCACCCAGCTGTTCTTTATGACGATTTATATAGATATATACGCTCTGATTCACAGTGTGATAATATATAGATATAGGGTTCATCCTACTCGGAGTACAGTACCATGTGTAGCTGGCGATAGATTGGGGGGGATAGGGAAAAGTAGGGTGCAGGCGCGGTTTCAGTTTCAAACTGCTGTCTAGGCAAAACGCTGACAATGTTGAATGTATACAACCGAGCTTTAGGGTCCGGTGAAAAAAAAAAAAAAGGGTCCGGTGGGGGTGCGTTATGTTCGAGGGGATGGGTGGAATACGTTTGGAAACTGTTTTTTTTTTTTTTTTCTTTTTTTTTTCGTGACTGTACAAAAGTTGCCCTATTTGGATATGTAGTTGTTGGCTGCACCGATTTTTGTCTTTCTTCATCGTCCTCCTCCTCCTCCTCTCTCTCTCTCTCTCTCTCTCGCTTGCACGGGTGCGCGCGCTGAAAGGCCTTCGCCTAGTTTTCTTTTTATTATTATTTTTAGAGCTCTGTGGAAATGTAAAGTTTTGTATTCCATTTATTTTTCTTTTTGTCTTTTTTTTTTTGATATTGCCACACCAAAAGAGGAGGAGGCCGGTGACGATAATACACAATACTGCCAATGGACCTAGCTCAGTTGGTACACCAAATGAACTGCTGAAAAAATACAGAAGCCTAGTTCAGGTATGAACGGCACACTAAGTTAACACTGCACACCGACGCCACTAGCGTTCCCTTCCCCCCCCCCCCCTCCCCCTTTTGTGTTGCAACGACGGTGCATGAGTAGGGTAAAATTAACCTGCGTCACGGCGGTCTAATCCCAGCTATCGATACCATGTATACCTGAACACAACGCGGTCTAATAATAATGCAAAAAATGTATACAATAAGATCTTTCGGGTCCGACAGACAGAATGATGGGGGTGCATTGTGTGTTTGAGGGGCAAGTCGGTAGCTAGGTCACACTGCACAGCAGCGTCTAACTGGTATAGTTCACATTCATACTGAATACCGAAGGGGATCTAGCTAGCTCACACTGAACGGCAACGCAACGTGTGTTTTGTTAAGTGACACGGGTTTGACCTCTTGGCTTAAAAACCATAAAAACTAGTTTTGATGGTTTGAACTCCTGGCTAAGTGACACGGGTTTGAACTCCTGGCTAAGTGACACGGGTTTGAACTCCTGGCTAAAAGGGTTTGAACTCCTGGCTAAGTGTTTTTTAGCGAGGAGTTCAAACCCTTTTAGCCAAGAGTTCAAACCCGTGTCACTTAACAAATCACACGGCGCAGCTCGACAATATGTGTGTGTGTGTGTGTGTGTTACTTCGCAGCCACACGGGTCGGGTTGGGTTGCTGGGTCCACTGTTCGGATGCCAGGTTAGGCTTTGCGGGTTTTAGGGTTTTATGCATCCGGTGACGCTCTGCTCATCCCTCGTGTTCTCTTCATTTCCCGTTGCTCCATCCCTGCGCCCTGTTCCCTCTATGCTTCCTCCCGTCCACTTCTCCTTTCCTCTCCTCTCTCTTTCTCTCTCCCCTTTCCATCTCCCTTTTTCGATCTCCCCCTTCTCCCTCTACGCTTTCTCCCGTCCCCTCTTCTCTGTTCTCTTCCTCTCTCTGTCTGCCGTTTTTGAATCTCCCCCTTTTGCTTGCATCTTCCCCCTTCTTTCTCTACGTCTTCTCCATTCTCTTCCTCTCTCTCTCTCTCTGTGCCCCTTTTTCATCTCCCCTTTTTCTTTCGTATATAGAAAAAGGGGGGCGCGAGAGCAGCCCCACCCACTGGCCCCATGTAATTTCAGGAGTGTCATCCTGTTCCATCTGGATTTGAACTCAGCTCTGTATTGCAACAATTCACGCGTGTACCATCTGAGCTAGGTCAGTCGGTCCATCTCCCCCTTTTTCTTGCCTACCCTCCTTTTCCACTTCCGCTTTTCCATCTGCCCTTGCGTCGGGGTCGCGACTGACGCGGCGGGCGATTCCTATTCATGTTGCTTTTCACCTGAGTCCTTGGGCTCTTGGTCGTCGCGCAGGGGGAGAGGAGAAGGGAGATGGAGTTGGCTCTTGGTCGTCGCGCAGGGGGAGAGGAGAAGGGAGATGGAGTTGAAAAGGGAGATGGAAAAGGAGGAGAGAGGGAGGGGAATCCAATTTTGTGATGGTTACCCCAGCCGGAGGAAGAAAATGAGAAGAATTGAAAAAGGGGTCGGCGCGCGCTCGAGGAGCATGCCTAAGCACAGGCAGAACATGCGGATATCACTTCTTCTGCTTTCTTTTTGAATGCGACGGCGTAATCTTCTGACTTTTCGCGATCCTGCCCTTCATGAAATTGGGTCTGATTAATTTCCTTTGTGTTTTTGATGCCTGGTGTCTCTGTCGATTGTCCTCCTTGATTGCATTTTGTTGAACTTGATTGCATTTTGTCCTTGATTGCACTCTGTCCGTGAGTGCGTTGTCCTTGATTGCATTCTGGCCTTGATGGCTGTTTGTGTTCTTGATTGCATTCTGTGGTCCTTGATTGCATTAAGTCCTTGATGGCATTCTATCCTTGATGGCTGTTTGCGTTCTTGATGTTTGATTGTTCTGACGTGGATGACATTCTGTCTGTCGGATCGATCAAAGCCCCTCGTTGGCGGTATGCCATATGCGATATGCGACGTCTGCCCCCTTAAAGGTGTGTGCCATCCTTATTACCTTCTCTCAAGTGACTGGCAGGTCAGCCTAATTACCCGCTGCAGCGACTGCCAGGTCATCATTCTTCATTTCCGACCTAGTCTTCATCTGGTTTCCCCCCTTCTGGTTTATATCTGCTTTTTGCCCCCGGCCCCCCCCCCCCCCCCCCCCCCCCCCCCTCCTCCTCCTCCCCCTCCTCCTCTCGTCCTTCATCTCCCTTTGTGGGGGGCAACCTCCCTGTGATGTGCACTTGAAAGTCTCTTGATGGCTCTCACATTTTTATCTTTTCTACCTTTTTCTTTGCCCCCGCTTATCTCTATCTGCGGTTTTCACCACCATCCTATTTATTCTTGACGTCAACGCCGTCATCCTCCTTCCTTGTCCCCAGACGCCCTCTGTGCAAATATCGATCTGCATGTTGACCTCTGTTGTTGACAAAGTTCGCCTTGTTCTAGTCCCCATATTTTTCTGTTGCCGTCCTATTTATTCTTGACGTCAAAGTCAAAGTCAAAGTCGTCATCCTCTTTCATTGTCCCCAGACGTCCTCCTTGCGAATATCGATCTGTATATTGACCCCTTTTGTTGACAAAGTCCGTCTTGTTCTAGTCTGCATATTTTTCTTTTGCCGTTAGATAACGCTTACAAAGTTGGACATGATATACATGGGCCACCAATTCTTTAGATGCTGCCGGTGGATATGGTTGCTGATGGTGAAGATGGTCGTGATGGCGATGAAGAAGATGGTGAAAGCTCATATACAGCACAGCTGGTTGTGGTGAGGATGATGAAGATGGTGATAGCTGCTGACCTTATTGAGGATTCCGATGGTGATGGAGTATCTTTATTTGTGGGGGGTGGCGGGGGGAACCGTTCTTAATCGGTTCTTGTGTGTCTTGAATGCTTGTTGCAGGTTCGCAGAAGGACTACGTGGTTGTCGGATCAGATTCAGGACGGATTGTCATCCTAGAGTACAATAAGGAGAAAAATGTGTTCGATAAGGTTCATCAGGAAACCTTTGGCAAATCAGGCTGCAGAAGGATCGTCCCGGGTCAGGTATGCACAAAAGTATGACGTCGAGCAAACGAACAAAAGTAAAAGCTCCTGCGCATGTGGTTTTGATCTTCTTCTGCCTCTATCGGCCTTCATGTCATGCTTTCCGTCTTCATCATTGTTCTATTCTCCGTCTGAATTTGATGCACGCTTTTGCTTCGTGACACCGGCTTTCGGTTTTCATAGGCAAGGATAGAGACAGGCAGCCATGCGCGTAGTCAGGCTGGAGGAGTAACACACGGGCGTGAACAGGGTACAAGCGCACATGAAGACAAACAGTCGGGGGCAAGAGCCAGATGCACACACCACTCTTCTCAGGGGTATTGCTAGCTCTGGGGTGACGTGGTGGTGAGTCCTTATCCATCAGTCAAATGCATCCTGGGAAGGTGAAGTCTGACGAAACAGTCTGGCACAGTCATGCTTTTCTTTTGTGGAGTTGTGTATAGCGAACATGACAACACGCGCGCGCACACACACACGCACACACACACACACACACACACACACACACACACAGAGAGAGAGAGAGAGAGAGAGAGAGAGAGAGAGAGAGAGTTTTATTGCAAGAAAGAGGGAGACAAACAGGTTTATTGCAAGAAAGAGGGGGAGAGAGAGAGGATAATTGCAATTGACCTCTTCCGATCCTAAACCCAAACGCGGAGGATCAATGAGGAACATTGCCGCTGGGTAGAGTTTTATTGCCAGAAAGAGGGAGAGAGAGAGAGAGGGTTATTGCAATTGGCCTCTTCTGTTCCTAAAGCCAAACGTGGAGGATCAGTGAGGAACATTGACGCCAGTAGATCAGATATGTTTTGCATGGGTGGAGATTGGGAAAAGGCCAATGTCTGTACACGCCATTCTGTTTACTCCCCTGGCGTGAAAAAAACAGAAATAAAAAGGACACTGGGCTGTTATCCTGTACGCCAGTCTGTTTACAACCCTGGCTTGGACCAGCAGTAAAAACCTTGCCTAGCTAGAATTGCTTTTGCAGTCCTCAGCTCAGTCATGTCACATTCATGAATTGCCCAGCTGACGTACTAGGGGTGTGTTAATGTGCTATGTATGGATTGGGCAACCTGGTGGTTGATCTCATTGCTGGAAGCGTAAGTAAAAGACACCTGGCCAGAACTGCCTTTGCGATTGTGAGTAGTTCAGGCACGTCAGATTTGTGAATTGCCCAACTGTTGATGTGTTGTGTATGGATTGAGGTACCTGGCGGCTGATCTCCTGGCTCGAACCAGGAGTGAAAGAGACCTGGCAAGAGTTTTTGGCGGCTGATCTCCTGGTTCGCACCAGAAGTGAAAGAGACCTGGCAAGAGTTTTTGCCTTTGCGATCCTTAGGAGTTCGGACACTTCGGACGCTTCACATCTGTGAGTTTAACGAGCTAGTGTTCTAAGGTGTGTGTGTGTGTGTGTGTGTGTGTGTGTGTGTGTGTGTGTGTGTGTGTGNTGTGTGTGTGTGTGTGTGTGTGTGTGTGTGTTGTTGATTTGTTATATATGACTTTGCAGTACCTGGCGGTGGATCCGAAGGGACGTGCTGTCATGATTGGAGCTTGTGAGAAGCAGAAGCTTGTGTACGTGCTCAATCGTGACAATGCAGCTCGACTGACAATTTCCTCTCCTCTTGAGGCAAGCGACTTCCCTTCCTGCCCGCCGTTTTTAATCGAAAGCAGGCTTGTCTTGATCCGGACAAGGATGACAGTAGGCTCAGAGAAGGCTTGCCTGGATCTCCCTCTCTGCTTGTTTGTGAGTGAATGCCGGCGAGAGTTTCCATTGGATGTGCGGATGCGCAGATGTATCCGCGAATAAACAGAACATGTACTTCATCTGGTGAAAGAACCAGGCGGGTCACCAGAAGCGAGGGCAAGAGTCGTTTCTCGGGCAGAAATAAGAGGGGTTTTTGGGTCCTTACCTTCTGCGTTCAGACGAAGGAAACATGCCTGGTCAGTGGGCTTGCTGTGCGCAAGGTAGTTCAAGTTGAATAGAGGGTTCAGCCTCCTGACGAGTCGGTGAAACACCGACGGAACAGTTTGTCACAGCCCTCGTTTGTTGCTGCAACTCCGACAAAACAGTCTGTCACAGACCCTCGTTTGTTGTCCTCCTTCTCCATCTCTGCCTTTGGTTCACTGGGCAATTCCTTATGATGATACACGCCATCTGGTGTCATCGGGTTTTATATTTTCATATGGATACATACATAAAAATCATGCATACATACATACATACGTACATAGATACATACATACATGTACACATACATACGAACATACATGCACAGGTGAAGGACTGAATTTTTTTTTCTTGCTGTATTTTTTTTCTTCTCTTTTTTTTTAAATGGAAAATTTGAAATGAACCATTTTATGTAACTACCATAGAAGGGAGGGGCTGAAATTGTTACTGACCTTTCTTCTTTTTGGTCTCTGAATCAAACTATTCTAATTATGACGGAGGTGCTGAGCTGGTTGTATGAAAGTTAGGCCGATGGTTCGCTTCTGCACCTCTGTAGCCACCAAAAGCCAAGTAAAGGGAGGTTAGGTGTATGGCAGGGTAACCAAACAACAAAGCACTTTCATTAGCACTCTTGATACAGCTTTTGATTGCAATTTTGAAAAACAATTCTGACTGAGATTCCAAGGAACACCCATGGACTCGAATAGAGTCATTTCTTATGGGAGTTAGGCGAACACAACGCACCAAATCAGACCCGTCTTCTTCCTTATTCAGCATGCATGAAAACAGATGACAATCGCACTGGTGCCAGGTGCCCACACAATACTCAGAGATATCGTGCCCAAGAACACAGTTCAGATTCAACTTGCTTCAAATGGCTATGGCGCCTGTGTGCCCTCACAACACCCTTCCACGCTGTATCCTCGGCAACTGTTCACACGCACACTACTCTGGATCTCCCTGGATGTCCCACACACGCACACACCACACTGAACACTCACACACTTATACGTTACAGCCTAACTCTAACCTAGCGCAGCTATGGCTGCTTGCTACCTCTACCACTAACTAGCGGCTATGGCCGCTTCGTCTCCCCTCCAGCCCACTCCTTTGGGCACTCTCGGACCTCCTTGCACAAGTCGCTCAGGCAGCGCTTCCACACGGCTCACCGTCTGAATGAATGAATAACTGGACTCTGCCTCTTGATTTATAACTGGACGCTTCCACCGGGCCTAGGGTGCACACAGTCCCACATGGTACTTGCTGACTGGACAAAGTGAGACTGGGACTGGGTACCGCTGACTAGGCAAGGTTGGACTACCCGCTTACCCACTTGCCTCTAGTCTAACGTGAACAACTCTCGAAAGGCCACTTCCGGACCTTCCGGAAGTCTGTAGACTTGGGCTTTTGGGACTGTAAGAGCTACGACCTAGACCTTTCAGGGCTGTAGCAGCTACGACTTCTCCACAGCTACGACCCCTACTTGACAGACCTACAGATCGAAACCCGACAACGACACAGACCTACGACAGACGACAGTCAACTACCAAGACACAGGTCACGGGTTCAAACACACAGGGGTCGACTTGGTACTGTACACAGGTGAGGACATGGTCTAGGGATCGAGCCCTGGGATCTGCATCTGCTACTGCAAAGGTGAAAACCGTTTCAGTAAACTCTGGACGGAATTAATCAATGGATTGTGGAAACTCTAGAAGTTGGGGATGGAGGAGGCTATTAGTGGAGAATTGATGACTACTAGGCAGAGGTGCTAACGGTAGTATGCTTAGCAGGGGGAGAGAGGGAAAAAGAAGGCAGGGGAAACCTACCCATGTGTACGCTTGTCAGCCGGCCTGCAGCCTACTTGTCGACCTGCATGATGCCATTGCTACAGATGGCTATCCAGCCCACCTAACTGGCTACTGGTCCGACCCCGGTGACCTGCCCCCCTTGCGGAATGGTTTTTCGTACTGCCTGCCCTGAAAGCGCAACCTATAGTGGTGGGGAAGGACCGGGCAGGGAAACGGTCATGCATTACCTTGGGCTGGCACTAGACCAGTACCACCACGTCCCAGCGGGACCACCAAAAACAGATCAGAAAAACACATGGTAACACTGCTGCATATGATCAAGCAGGAGTCTTTTTTTTCTTTTTTTCTTTTTTTCTTTTCTTGGTCAAGCAGGATTCTCATGGCTTCGTGTCCGGCCGTCATGTATAGATGGAATTGCATGCGAACTTCGAATGAGAGGCGTCTGCGTTCTTGGACCAGGTTTCTTGCAGTGGACCTGCAAGCCCACTAATGGGGCCTGAGCCCTAGGATCAGACCCCATGCCGGCTAGTGGGGCCTCAGCGCTAGGACCAGACCCCGCTGGTACCATGTTTGTGCTTAGAAAGCATGGTCCTTGTCCAAGTACTTGACCAGATTCGTAATGTCTCAGCATGGAGATAGCATCAGTGGGGGTTTGAGCCTTAGCAAACTTCACATGAGAAAAAGGGGTCTGCATTCTTGGACCAGGTTTCTGGCATGAGGGAGGCGATCAATAGAGAACCACGACTGTTCTGAACTTTCTCTGACTGGCTCTTAGGTCGTTATTGCGGTGGACTGAAAGTTGCACCAAATTCAGCTATAATGACCGGGCATTCTATTCGGATGAAGACAGTAGGGGGATGTTCCTGGATGCACGTGGCTGCATTAGCTGGTATGTTCAGACTGGAAATTTGAAGTGCGAGTTTGCCCTTACTGAGCTTATCGCTATGGTAGTATGGGGTAATCAATCCACTATCAGGAGGGGTTGACTTGCCACTGTCCAAATGGGTCGGGAGGGTGTGGAGGGGTCTTGAGGGGTTGGGTGGGTGGGTGTCTGGACCATAGGTAGGGTGTTGGCGCTTGAGGGGGTGCTTCACCCAGCTAAGAGTGGATTTTTTTTTTTCTTTTCTGTTCGGGGTGAAGTTGCAATGGGCCGCATATTTCTAAGATAGTGTGTCATTTTAAACACATTTTGGGGAACTTACAAAACCGACACTCTGCACACGCATCAGCCTGACCAGTTGCCCCCAATCGTCTAGGCCCTGTTAAACAGAAACAGTGTTAGACTCGCATGCGATTCAATCAAATCGCAACTGAAGTTCACATGCTCACATCATATAGGTAATCGCGTGCTTGATCGAAGACTTCGAAAACTCGTCTCTCAGCATGGATGGCCAAAAACTCGATGATACCAGTCGAAAAAATTGTCCATCTGAGCGCCAGACAGCCCAGACCAAAACACAACAAGAAGGGAACAAATTTCAACAAAATGATCAAGTATCGGACACCGACAAGCAGTATGGCTGCCTGACCGTCATCTTGCCATCACTCTCTGATGAGCGAAACGCTCCCCCTCTTGCTTTGTAGAACATCATTTCAAAAGTCTGTTTAAACAGGTGGGGCACATTTTGTCAAGCTGCTGTGATTCACGACTCTGCTCGGAACTCCCTACCTCCCTGCCACTCAACCAACTAGTCTTCCTGGATTCAAAACCTGACCGCAACAGTAATGAAGAAAACAGATCACTTAAGGGCTTGGGATCAAATGCCAGGGCCAGCATGCAATGACTTGCTGATTTCCACTGCCGAGATTGACTGCGAGGCTGTACACTAAGTGGTAGGGTTAGATTCGTAATTTTGTTTGGCTGAGGGCTAACCGAGAGACCTACCTGTAAGGAAATTCGTGAGGGACATATCTGCAAATCTGGGAAAATATCGGCCCGGTACTAAATCGAATTCCTACAGCTACCCTTACTGCGAATAGCAGGCCCGGGCTACCCCTAGGACAGACAGGCCCTAAGTGGCCTATGCTGATAGACAGTCCTATAGCCTATAGTCGGGTCCGGTAGAGGTCGAGAGGCCGAAACAGAAACGGTACCGGTCAGTCAGTCAGTCCGGTCTAGGTCTAGTGGAGTCTATAGATAGGTTAGGCCCATCGGTTCAGGGCTTTTGGCAGTTTATTTC